ACTTGTGGGCTAGCATCAGGGACTTGTGGGCTAGCATCAGGGACTTGCGGGCTAGCATCAGGGACTTGTAGGCTAGCATCAGGGACTTGTGGGCTAGCATCAGGGACTTGTGAGCTAGCATCAGGGACTTGGATTTGATACGAACAGAGGTAACCAGTGGAGTTCAGTGAACAGAGGGGGGACGGGAGATTTTGCAGATGCTCCAACTATGATGCAACCAGCCTGAGTGGCTCCTCCTGAGGCTGAACTGCCCCCAGCATGATGATGGCATCTCCGGGAGTCGTGCCACTGAACAAAACCCTGGCTGTGTCTTCCCTCCCGGTGAGTCACGGCTGCATTACAGCCGAGGACAGACCACCAAACAATCCCCGCTGTGTTGAAGGGCCACAGATTCCTACACGAGGCTCCAAAGACCCTCAGAGGATCAAACATCTGTTTTAGAGCCTCTGGGAGTTCGGGAGTCTTTGAGCTTAGGCGAATAACCTGATATGTTTAAAGGAGACATATTCTACCCTATTTCAACAAGTTAAGCTAGCTCCCTGGTGTCCCAATGTAATGTCTGTGACAAGCTTTGGTCAGAATCCTATAAGGATGAAGCCCAATAGCAGTTCAGTCCCCCTGCCTAACCCTAACCCTAACCCTAACCCTAACACAAAACAGCCCCATTCAGAGCGCTCGCTTTGGAGTGCCTGTCTCTTTAAATGCAAATGAGACACAGGCAATCCACCCACTTCTTCAGGGAGGTGTGCCCACGTCGGCACGCTAACGCTAGCATGCTAACGCTAGCATGCTAACGCTACCATGCTAGGAATATGGAGACTATCTGCTGACTCTCTGAAAGGGCAAACAGAACATGACCAAGAGGAAACCAGGGGCCTGGTGTGATGGATGCTGAGAGCTGTGCCCCCTGATGCATTATGGGAGGTTGAGTCCTTACATAAATACTGATGCTACTTTGACTGGTGCTGAAAAACCCCTAACAGGAAAGGAAGAGGCTCGTTTCGGTCTTTAAGATATTCATTTGGCATCCAAATACTCCAACATTGACTTTGTGGGTGTGTGGGACACAGCTCCACCTCACTGCTCTAAATCTGACGATTATTTTAAAACTTTATGGCGAACAAATGCCATAAACTTTATTTCCTGTAGAGCGATGTCATGTGATCGTGTAAGGATTAACAGGGGGAAGGAAAACAGCTTCAAAGTGGTCACACTTGGTCATGTGACACCTCCACTAAGTTTCCCAGCAGAGGGAGATTTTCCGTGAGACAAACGGCTTAAACCTTTGGCTCAAACCAACACGGAAACGCTGGGGAATCTGAATCTGAGCTCGTACCCAGCTTGACGTGGCCCTCCAGAGAGAGCAGGATGTTTCCGGCCTTCAGGTCTCGGTGGATGATTTTGCTGTCGTGGAGGTAGACCAGCGCCTGCAGCGTCTGCCGGCACACCGCCCGGATCTGGGGCTCCGTCAGGGGCCTCTCCAGCTCTGAGGGGACACAGGAGGAACATAGCTTAGTCTTATCTTACTCACCCCTTAGGACAGTGTCTTTCAACCCCTGGTCCTCGGTACACTAGTGTGCCGTTAGTGATGGTCAGGTGTAGAAAATCATCCTATTTCACCTCATTGGTCTACAAAGATTATAATATATAATAATATTCCATTTTTGAGTGTGTGTGCTGTTCTAGTGACTGGTGGAGTAATCATGTAATAATTCCTTATGACTAGATTTTGTATATAATTTTGTATATTGAAGTGGACAGTGGACTTTGTTAATATTCTGTCCTAAAATGTGATTAGATGTGCCCTTTTTTTTTGAGCACCTGCCCCTTTAGTGGTCTCTGCACAGCCCTCAGTACTAGTACTAGTACTCCAGTTGCACTAATGTATTGTATATGTATGTGTTATTTATGTGTCCACTTTTACGGAGCTGCTCTCCAAATCTCATTGTACTGTGTACAATGACAATAAAGGCTTTCAATTCAATTCAATTCATTTGGGGCAAAGCCACAATTATGGTCTGGCAGGAGGGTAAACCCTTTGGGAGGTCTGCTGATGTTTTGAATAGGGATGTCACGAAACTAAAATACTAAAATAAACTCGATACCCATACAAAGACCCCAAAATTTAACTGAATTTGGACAGGTTAGTGTCTTTGGTTTCAATTTTGTAAGTCCCCTCTGAGGCCTTTGAGGGGGGGCAGGAGACCCAAAATTTAAGAGAAATATTATTATTAATAAATACAATACATTAAATAAATAAATAAATGCAATAAGAACAATATTTTGAGGTTGTATGCTGTGCACAATATTAAGCAAGCTTGACAAAAAAATAACTAAATAACCTTAAGCGTATCCTTCCCTGCCTAAGCTTTACACACATAACAAACACGAGCCAAATTAGTATATAAACAAAAATACAGTATTTAAAAATACAAATATACACTGTACTTAATCTGTATTTTTTGTATTTTTATTTATTTATTTGTATTTATTTGCTTAATTTAATTCTAACTTGATATCTTTTGCCCTTTAAGCTGCTGGTAACCTTAATTTCCTGAGGGAGTCTTCCCAAGGGATCAATAAAGTACTGTCTAAGTATAAGTCTAAGTCTAAGTCTAAATAAAAGCTGTATTCTCAGCACCGGTTACAAAAAACGTCTGAAACTGAACTTATTTAATCAAACAGTGTTCAGAAAGTTCTTTTTCCTCTACTTCCGCTATTCTGCCATTTGGATGAAGGAATGTTTAGGGGCCACTTTCTTTGAGTATCAATACTTTGGAAAACCCTAGTTTTGAAATGTCTGAAACGGGCTTTTTTCCCTCTGCTGGGCTCTGAGAGCCGTCCTGGTGGATGGAAACTCACCGAGCATCACAGCATCCACAGCCCCCCCGGCACAGAACTCGATCAGGATCTGCCAACGAGAGGAAAAGGGTAGAGAGTCAGCACGGTTTCTAAATCTGACCTCATACCGGTCGTACAGTGACTCCACCCTCTGAAACCAAACAGGTGCTCAGGTTCAGGAACTCCCCTCTCAGCCTGGAAAACACTCATCTGAGCACACAATCCTGCTCCCAGACTCCTGACCAGAACCAGGATATAGGAACACATCAGTCCAGGTCTCAGGTCTCTCCTCTGGCTTCCTGTCCCTCAGAGAAAAGACTTAAAACGGCACCAAAAATACCTTTCTGACATGTTAGAGCCAGACGAACCAACTCGGACTTTGAGAACCAGGTTCTGGTCTCCTGATGGGGCCCAGAGTCAGAACCAAACCAGGTTCTGGTCTCCTGATGGGGCCCAGAGTCAGAACTAAACCAGGTTCTGGTCTCCTGATGGGGCCCAGAGTCAGAACTAAACCAGGTTCTGGTCTCCCGATGGGGCCCAGAGTCAGAACTAAACCAGGTTCTGGTCTCCTGCTGGGGTCCAGAGTCAGAACTTAACCAGGTGAAGCTTAATTTCAGCTCCAGGCTCCTAAAATCTTGATCAGTCTTCCTGAAGACATGAGACAGGCTTCAACTCTGACTTTGTTTAAATCCAGGCTTAAAACGCGTTTTTTTAACTGTGCCTATGGAAATCGAATGTATTTTGTCTGCACCCTTCACTTTTCATCTGTCTAATTTTGATTATTTTTCTTTTCTTGTTTTTCTGCTTTTAAATTCTCTGTGAAGCACTTTGACTTGTCTTGTACACGAAATGTGGTATACAAATAAACTTGCCTTGCCTCACCTGCTAAAAGGTTTGAGAATCAACCTCCACCTGTGTGAATGAAACCCTCTCCAGTCTTAAAAAGGTATTACGGAGCCTTGGGAATGGCTCTTGATGTAAGAGGATTGGCCCAGTTGGGGCCACTCTGTTTGTCACAGATGCTATGTAGCCTGTTAGCTAGCTCGGGCCTCATTCTGCAAATAGGATTAGAGGCTGTGTGGAGGCAGAGGGGAGTGGTTACAGGCCGACAAACAGCCAGATTTAGGGGAACATCTGAGCTCCACTCTGAGGAGAAAAGGGGAAGTAAAGCTACTACACAGAAACAACTCGCGGTTGCTAATATTTGGGCTGATTTAAAACTATGTTAACCCTATAATGCCAAATGTGTGATATCTGATCCGGTTTCTTTTGGATGTGAGACTTTCTGCATCATTCAGTGGTAAAAGCTTTGCTCAAACCCCTGTTGTACACATTCAGATATACCTAATAACAGCCAGTAGAAGACTACACCAACATAGATTTATGACTTATTGCACGCTAATTTGATCAAAATCATTTCTGTTTTTTTTCTTCATATGTTGTTGAGGGGCCAAAGAAAGACTTCAGACTAAAAAAATCCAATATTCTTCCTATTTTTCTTGGATCAGGCTTTAAAGGGTTAAAGCTGTTTTTTGGGGCTTTTAAAGCTGTTTTGAGGGTCTTAACCCTATATAGCCAAATGTGTCATATCTGATCCGGTTTCTTTTGGATATTTTTGCATCATTCAGTGGTAAAAGCTTTGCTCAAACCCCTGTTAACCTGATAACAGCCAGTAGAAGACTACATCATATACAACATATATTACAACATATATATTATATATACAACATATATTTCTGACTTATTGCACACTAATTTGATCAAAAATAATTCCAGTTTTTTTTCTTCATATGTTGTTGAGGGGCCAAAGAAAGACTTCAGACTAAAACAAATCCAATATTCTTCCTATTTTTCTTGGACTTTAAAGGGTTAAGAAGCTTCCCAACCAGAGAGGGTGAAACGCTGAGCCTTAGCTGAGCTTTTCTCCTGAAAACACACAAAGCCTGGAGTCTTCGGGCTGCACGGGTCTAGAGTTTCTCTGTGGGCGGGCTGTTGTTTTAGAGGGACAATGGCCCCCACAGTGGACTCTCAGAGAGAACCACAGGCTGTGGCTTCCTCTGATGCAAACACACACAAATACGCACAACTGTGCACCCACAGGTTTTTCTAACTCATTCATGTGGCTAGAATGGGGAGGAAGTGGCCAGATATGAATCCACTAGGGCTAAAAATGTCCAACTCTATACGATACTCAGGAAAATATTTGATACTCGATACCACAAGGATAAAAACAAAGAGCCCAAAATTTAACTGAATTTTGACAGGTTTGTGTCTTTGGTTTCAAACTGACCTGTTACTGATGTTATGGTGGCCCACATTAATGACCCTAACCCTAACCCTAACCCTAACCCTGACCCTAAACCTGACCCTGACCCTAACCCTGACCCTTCATAATTGTGAGAAATAAATATTTTTTGGTTAAACTTGTTTGGACTTATTGTACAAACCTATTTAACATCCACTATTTTAACATAATATTATGGATAGAGTTTAATTCAGTGTTTGCAAGAATCATTTCACTATTTTTAAATTAATGTCTATATTGCCATGAAGCAATTACCATTTTCTTGCCTGGGATCTTCCTATTGGTGACCTATTCAAAATGGCCGACTTGGATGTGGGGGAGTTGGATCTCCATCCTTGTTCCTGCAGTTCTTGATTAATGTTAGCGTGTTATTATTAGCCATTAGCCGCAGCTAGCAATTCAAGGCTAACGTCATGTTAACATGTAAACCCTCTGTGGGGGGCGTACCTAAATACAGATTTAGGGCCGACCCACCTTCCAGGATGGAGCCTCTCTGAATGGATCCTTTCATGGGAGGAGGAAATGCTCCCTCCTCTTTGCATGAGCAGGTGCCACACAGATAAATATCTACCTCCACCCGCCGCCGCCTTTGTTAGGGAGACAATGTGGAGGCAAAGAGATCCAGCTAGAATTAAACCATCCTGGCTCATAAAGGCCCGTCACATGTTTGGGAGCCTCTGGCCCAGAGCTGGTTTCATCCATTATCATTACCCCTTATCACCTAATATGGTCAGGGGGGGCGGAGCCTATCCCAGT